ACCATTTTAACAGAGACTGAATAATCTTCTGTGGTTCAAGGAGAAAATAATAGAGATATATTGTCTTATCTTCTTACACACTACAACTGAAAGCAAGCCAAATCAGTCCTGAATATTAAGGAGTTTCTTTTTCTCTCCGAAACTGTTCCCCCAATTTACGATCCACTGTCACCCACTGTTTACAGACTCAAAGCATCACAGAGTGTTTGATGTGGGAAGAGACTTATGGAGATTGTCTTGTCCAACCCCCTGCCTATACAGGACCCCTTACAGCCAGTTGCCCAGGTTGCGTTACTTGTATGTTTTATTATCCCTGTATTATGTATTAGTTTATTCCTTTGTACCCCCATGTACAACTTGGTTTATCCCCAGTTTTCCCGCCTTGTCCTCCCTTCCCGCCTTCCCAGTATCTATCCATCACCCTGAAAGAGGCATTTTACCCCCCCCCCAGGTGCCTTGTCTATCACTCGGTGTCCCTTCCCATCCATCCAGAAGCTTCCACCTTGGGCACCGGGTGATTGGGCGAGGACCTGGGGCTCCCCCCATATCCTTCCCCCATTGGATCACGTTGTATCACCCCATCCCGGAGCCACTCCCTATCCCTATCCCCATCAGTCGTCGGTTACCCCTCCCTCACAGTTTATAAGCTGGTGTCAGAACCCTGTCTGGGTTCCTGTTGGCTGGCATCGTTCTAGGATATTTGGCCCCGTTGGGCTACAATAAACTCGGACTTAGCCCCCAGCAGGATCCGCTCTTCATTTACCACCGCGAGGCTTGCTAGCGCTGCCCGGAACCCACAAAGGCACTCTCCAAAGCCCAGCTGGGAGCGGCGGAGGGTGCCTCCATCGCCCCTCTCGCCCCAGGAGGAGAGCTAGCCGGGGCTGAGAACAGGGATTTGGGGCGGGAGCGCGGCACCCAGGACTTCTGCTTTTGGCATACAAACATATGGGCTAACCACAGAAAGGAGGGGATAGTAAAGCAGAATTTTTATTTTCTTTTCTTGTCATTGAAACACCAGCGTAACACATTCAGAGGCAAAAGCTTTTTTTCTATCTGTTGAAGAAAACTGTCCAGTGCTTCACATAGATCTCAATAGGAGATTGTACACTACTCTTTTGGAAAAAAACTGTTAGCTATTTTCATGCTTATTTGTCTTATTTCATCTTTTAATCTCAATTTGGAAATGTTTCACAGTGCTTAAACTGGTCTATAAAAGAGTGATCTCCTTGCTGCCAAGCCAACCACCCTCAGGCTGATCACTGTCTTAGGTTGGCCTGAAGATGTTAGACAACAAGAAGTGCTTCATGTCTTGCTGAATAAAATATTATGGGTTCAAACATATTGCTCTAAAAATCAATAGAAAAATTCATCTGTGAATGTGAAAGAGAGAGGCCAACAAAATGTGCTATATAAAGAGATTACCATGTAATGGATGGTTTAAAACTACAAGGAATAGCATTGTATGTCCTGAATCAAGGGAGATAATTCTGTTGGGTTTTCTTGCTTATTTTTAATAACAAGATTCAGCTGACAACCAATATAGAACTAATAAAAGTACATTTCTAATTTAAAAGTGTAGTTGTCATTCTATATAATAAAATAAGCCAATGTTGTAACTCTAAGAAAAAGAAACACCTTAAACTCATTTAAAAATCAAAAGGACTTTTACCAATGCTACTAAGATGCCATTTGACATAATTTTTAATGGGCATTAGGCTTTCCCATTTTTAAAAAACATTTCATGTTTTATTAAATGTCAATCCTTTTCTTTCTTTTTTAATTTACTACCTAGTAGAAATGTAAGGTTCTGGCAATTGGCTAATTAGGGATATAAAAATACACACTAAGTTTATAAAAATTTAGCTGTAGAATTCCAGGGTAATGGAAGATTAGCCCATTTAAGAGCATGAGCTACTAATTTACTAGAAAGAGTGTTTATCAAAACTCACATAAAGAGATTTTTCAACAGAAGGAGACATAAAGCCGAAAAAATATGGTGATGAATATTTCAGCAGTTGTATGAAGTTCAAAATTTCAAACTCTTTACAGAAGTGATACCTATTGAGGCAGAAAGCAATTTTGAACAGTCTCTAAATTGCAAACCCTGGGTACTTGCTTATAAACACTTTTGCATAAGCTTTTAGCATTCAGTGATGTAGATATTGAGATAGCTCCTTAAGGTCTCATTGCTAATGAGAACACTCAGTGGCCATTGTGGTCATGCCTCATTTATTTTGTGGATGTCTCCCTCCATAATGATGGTTAGTGATTACATTTTGGCATAAACACACTTGGTATGTACCACTTTCTGTTTCTCAATACTATTGCAATGGTGTCCTTAAAATTATGAGTGACAATAAAAGATCTAGGAATTTTAAAACTGAAAACATCCTATTTCGGTAAAGGAAAAATGTGAAGCTCACTGTTATATGATGTGACACAGCACATTTCCCGGAACAGCAAAATCAGCTGTTTTGTGCCTACTTGTTCTATTACCTTTTTTTTAAGTAACTATAACTTGAAACTTAGCCATATGGATGTCTGCATCATCCTGCAGAAGAAACATCTGATGGTCCATAAACATTTGTATGACTGTTTTCAACACTACCCTTTTTCTGTTACTCTGCTGTTCCCTGATGAAGATAGACTGCACATCTGTATAGAGTTTATCCTATGGAAAAATCAGGTGTCTTTCAATTACTCTACAAATAAAGTTCTGTAATTCATTGTAGATGAGAATAAGGAAGGTCAGAGAAAGTGCTGAGAGGGTTAGAAAGAAGAGTAGGACAGTTTATTGAGATTAACAGCTCCAAACTTGATGTTGCTAATGGCAAGATGGATTACACAAAACACGTGAATGCTTTCACAAAGTCCCATATCTCCTATATTCCTTATTATAAGGAGCTTACTCACAGCCCTGTAACAAAACCCTGTGCCCTTCTCACCCTGCAGGATTTTTAAGTGCTCAGTCAGGCTACCTGGGCTGATGACTGGCTGGTTGAGTCGGTGAATCCTGCTAGCCAAGATCACCTCAGACTTACTCTAATATGCTGACTGCCTGCAATCATAAGCATTGATGGCAGATACAATCTTCTTTTCAGAGTATGGGGCAGACCATCCACTGGCTGAAGAAAAACCCTAAGGCTTTTTATTAAAACATGTTTTTTTACTGGGATAAATAAATAAATAAATAAATAAATAAATAAATAAATAAATAAATAAATACATTAGTAACTATCCAGGCTTCCTCATCATTCACATTCTAGAATAGCTGCTGGGCTAGTCAGTGCTGTCCCAAAGGCAGCAAGGGTCATTAAAAGGTGTCCTGAAGACAATAGGCCTCCTGCCTACGCTAACACTGCCCCCATCTCGCCGGCAGACCCCGGGGCGCGGGACAGACCCTCCCGGCCCCAGGGGCAGCCCGGCTCCGCCGGCGCGCACCGCCGCTCCGCGCCCGACCGCGGAGCGCCGGCGCGCAGCCATCGCTGCCGTCCGACCTGCGCTCGCCCCCGCCCGCGCTTTTCTGCACCCGCGCAAAGCAGGATGCCGGGCTGCATTTCATTTTTAATTGACTTACAGCCTCCTTCCCAGCACCCAGCTCCTCCCCTTGCCCCAGCTGCGCTTCCAGACACACTTTTCCTGTTGCAAACGGCGTGAGCATCAGGTGCGGGCAAGGAGGAGCGGCGCCGCTCCCGCCTCCGAGATGCTGCTGCGGCGTGGGGAGCCCGAGGCAGGGGCTGCGGGTATCCCGGGTCGCCTGACTCTGCCCCCATCCCCACGGAGGTCGGCGGCTTTCCCACGCCGGCTGTTCCCCAGCCTGGACGCCGCGACAGCGGTGCAGAGGAGCCGGGGGATCCCATCCTGTTCCCCCTGCACTTCTGTGACACAAATCTTCCCTTCTCTCGTCCCTCCCCGCCGCCCCAGCCGTGCGCTTCGCTCCCTGTCCTTTCTTGCCGCCCTCCCCTCTCCCGGGCCGGGAGTACCGGGGCCGCGGCGCTGCGGGAGTCAGAGGTGCCAGCTGCCGCGGCTCTGCAGGGCCGGCTCCCGAGGCCAAGAGGGGACACAGCCCTTTCTCTTCATCCATTCCTCCTCTCCTCTTGTTTTCCATTGAGATCATTCCAGGCTTCCTCAAGATTCTTATAAATAATAGATTTTCTCTACTGTATTCTTCCCCCTCTCCCTTCCCGCTCTGACCACTAGCCCTCCGCAATCTCGTCAAAGGGACGGGTGTTTGGGGTGGGTTGTAGCTGGGGAGGAAGATAGTCCTAGACGCGAGGAGAGGGCGGGAGAGAAAGGGAGAGATTTTGCAGTCGTCTCTGGGCTGATTGGAAGAGGTAATCATTGTATCTTTGGCCGGAGGATTAGCAGATAAACTTTTATTGCTCCCTTTTGTGCGTGTGTGTGCGTGTCTTTGTGCGTGCGTGGGTGTGGGTGTGTAGAGGAAGAAGTCGCCTCTCAAGGGGGGAAATCTTTTTCATTTCCCTTTGGCAGGTGCAGGTCAAGGAGGAACTCATGAACATTTTGTCTGATCCATGATCTGTTTAGGAGAGGGGAAGCGACCCCTCTCCTCTTTCCCTTCCTTTCCCAGTTTTGAAATTATTCCATCCCCACCACCGCCGCCCTCCCGTCCTTCCCCGTCCAATTCCCCTTCCCCTTCCCCTCCACTGAATGAATGGAAGAGTCTCCACGGTTTTCTTCTGCTTCTCGCCCTGGACTGGAGAAGTGAAGGGACATCTATCCTCATCCATCTCTTTCTCGCTCCATCCATTCTCAAGGGGATTTCAGACCGTGCAATGTGTTTTCAGCCTCTTGCCGCTGCTACCACTTGATACTATGTTATGCGCAGGGAGAGGATTTTGCAGAAATGGATTTATTCTATTTTAAAGGATTTCTTCTCTAATAAGGTTCTCATTGCACACAAATATGACTAAATCCCCTATTTGGTAAATCTTTCTCTACCCCACCCCTCCTCTTTGGGTTCCCTCCCGCCCGCCCCCACCCCTTCAGAGGAGCAAGCACAGGGAGCTGATGACGGACCCATTAATCCCTTCTTCAATGCATCAAAAGAAGCCGAAGGGCTGGAAGTCGCTGGGCTCGGAGTCCTGCAGGAAATGCTTCGATCTGCTTTTGGTTCTGTATGAAACTGGTGACTAGGGGCTCGGCTCGCTCCGCCGCCGCCGCCCGCCGGCACCTGGATGCGCGGGCCGCCGCCGCCGCCGCCGCCTTGCCCGCCGCCGCCGCGATGCACCGCTCGTGGCGGTGCTGGTGATCGCTCGGGTGTGATGGGATTGAGCCGGCGGTGATCATTTGAAGGCGGTGAGGGAGAGCGAGGGAGAGAAAAGGCTGCTCAGCTCTGCTGTGTGTGTGGGGGCTTCGGGCTTTTTTTTCTTTTTTTTTTTCTTTTTTTTTCTTCTTCTTCTTTTCCTACTTCCATCCTCTCCCCGCCACTGGAAGTCCTCCCGTATCTAAATGGAATTAGTGGAGACCGAAGCCCCTTGTGTAAGGAACAGACATGACCCATGGGCGCAGCTTCTTTCACAGTGAGTATCAATCTCCCCCTTCCCACCCCCTACCCCCGACCGAGCTCCGCCGCCGCGCACGGGCTCCTGCCCTCCGCTGCCTCCGCACCGGGCGTAACGGGACGCCCAGACTCCCTCAGCGAGGGGGCGAACTCCCCCCACGCACACACCGCATCCTCTCCCCAGCACGCTGCGGTGCACCGGAGGGCAGCCGGTGTCTGCCAGCGCCGTGGGGCGGGCGGCGGGGCACGCTGCCGGGGGCTGGAGGCTGGCACCTGGGCGCCACGCGTCTGGTGGCTTTTGCCGCGCCGGGAGAGAGCGGAGGGAGCTGCCCCCGCCGGCCGCGGCGCCGCGGGGCCCCGGCCGCGGCTCGGATCGGCCGGCAGGGCGAGGGGGCCGGGAGCCGCGGCGGGGGCGGCCGCACCGGGCACGCATCCCGGAGAGCTGCGGGGCGGGGGCGGCGCTTTCGGCTGAAATACACCAGGATTAGCAAGGAGGCACCGAAATGTATCACCTACTCTTCCAAGACCTTAGGGGCCTCAAGTGCGAGGTGGGACTCCCTCTCCCGCCTCTCTTTTGCAGAGGGTCCGCTGTTCTGAAGGGGCTTGACTGGCCCCAGCTCCTCCCAGCGCTTCTCTGCGCGCCCACACCTGTACAATAGCGCTATGACCAGGTATTGCCTGTCCAACAACTCTTCGCCAGGCTAAGCCACATCTATGCCAAATCACAGCCTCCTAAAATCCTGGCCAAGAGATAAATCACTTAATGTACATCTTGTAATGAAAAAAATGCACAGATCCAAAAAAGATGGAAAGATGCGTAATCAGAGCGGCACTAGAAAGCACGATTATAATTACACCCGTGATTAGGAGGGAAAGGGGGAGGAGGAAGACAGTGAGAATGCAACAAGAAATTTTATGGAAACTTCTTTAAAATAATACCCAAACCGAGATAATGTCAATATTGTTGCTATGCTGCCAACACTTCCCAAGTGACAGTTTTCAATGAGTGAAGATTCCATGGTTGGTGTCTTTGGGGTCTTGTTCCCTCCCCCTCCCCTCCCCCCCCGCCGAAAAGCACTGTTATTTTTCCGTGGCTTGAGAAAGAAAAAGGCGTGAGAAATTCAAACCTGAAATTGGGTATCATGCGTGAGTTTGTGCAGAGGGATCATAGAATAAAATGGTCTGCCTTGTCTACTTAAATAATATGTGTTTGTGTTGGCTTTTCCCAAGAGGACCACAATTTTAATTACTTTCTGACAACTTGCATGTTTTGGTGCTGCTGTTAATAACACTAAAACAAGAGCCTTTTTATTTTTATTTTTTTTTTATAGCATGGAAGAAGTGTTTCACTTTATCTATCCAAATGTTAGATATTATACATCTAGAATAAAACCAAAACCCCCAAAGACTTAATTTCTTAGTATCTGCTTGTCTATTAGACTTTACTACCAAGATTATTTTGACAGCTTATTAGTAGCAAATACTGATATGACATTTAAGTAAAGCTCTGTGCTTTAGGAAAACAGCTCTGTAGTTTGGAAACTTCTTTTCTAGCAGTTACAGCTGGAACTGGAAAGACCTGTGGGGCTTTTGTCATCTTGGTATAATAGATCTGTGACTTGGACCAACTCTCTTTACTTCTCTGAACTTCACTTTTTTCTGTATAGAAAATGAGAGGAGACCTAATAGATAAAGATGCTTGAAATGAATGTGTAAGAATCAGGTATGCATTGTTATTAATTGCCTAAAAGAAACACTTCTCACATGGAGTTTGTTCAGTTATCCTATTCTAGCTTCCACAAATTTCTTGGCAGAAGTAACACCAGCAGCTGATTCCATATTTGAATACCAATCCACTTTACACTATTGAGAAATTAGGTGTAGGCTGGTGAAGATTACAAGCATAGATGCATTATGATCACTGCATGAAACAGAGCTAAAGTAAATGAGCAACTCAGTAAAGGGGTGACTCCTGCTTTGCCTTTGGATTTTGACAGAGTTGACAGGCAGAGTCCCAGCTAGCATGAATTTCCAGAATTCATCCCTGAGGAGAGTAAGGGCATGAATGGCTAGGTAGCATTCAGATCTGAGTAAAAGGTGTAGTGTTCTCACTGAATGCCCATGGCACACAAGAGTTTTAACTATCAATGCTGCCAACATCTGTCTCTAGGGGCTGTGAGCCTGACCAAGAAATAGTGAATATGCAGCCAAGCCTTCATCTTCCCAGAATTTCAATCTTACCCTGCTTAATAGGGCAGCCATCATCCACGCCTCAAATGCTCTGTCACATGGGAAAGGTCAAAGACATGGAAATAGGGATCTCAATGCCACCAGAATACTGGAAATATGGAGACTGGCTTCCTTTGGGGTTAAAATTACACATAAATTGCGATTAAAAAGTTGAAAATGTTGAAAGCACCATCTTGGAAAGGATCATAGTTACTCACCGTGGGCTCATGGTGGCTTTTGGTGTCTCTTAGGGAAAATAATAAGTATGCCATTCAATTACTTTTATTAATTGATCAGTTCCTCATCACAGTCATCAACAAAATGATAGCTGACTGATCCAAAATGCTCTGAATAAGAAGGCAACTTCATTTCCACCTTAAGGTCAGTGCAGCCTGGGCAATGTGTTTGGGCCTAATGCCAAACTAGCTGGGGCAAAGCCCTAAGCACTCCAAGAACTGATGGATTTGTTCTCTTCTGCACTTGCAATTCCACTTTCCTTGATAGCCAAAGACGGTATGAATGATGACAAGAAAATTAGTTTGTGATTTCTTCATCAGGTAGCTTGCTAGTCACTTTGATCTTCCAAAATAGCCTCATTATGACTGTACTAAAGGTTTGCCTATTAGCCTTTTCTAGTCAAACTGTTATATTTGGAAATTCCCAGAAACCCAGTCATTTTTTCCAGGTCAAAGTCCATTTCAGAAAGGTTGCATTTGTTTCCAAGAGGCATAGTTGTCCTATCACAGTTGGAGACAGCAGACACCTGTTTGCAAAGTGGGCTGCAGATTCACTGCAGCAAAAATGCAACACCCTCTCAACAAGTCAAACTAGATTAATGAGATTGTTAAGCACACACAATAATTTACTTCACTAGAGATTTGCAAGTGCTTTGATGGATGTAAAGAATCCAACCTCTCACTTCTTTCCTACTCCCAGTACTCATTTTCAAATTTTATTATGCCACAGTGAGAGACATTAGTACATACAGTGGCACTGAAATTTAGTCTCCCTCTGTTAAAAGCAGCCACTTTTCTATTACTGACATGAACGTTTATTATATAAATAGATATTGGTAAAAATGTGTTTCTCTAATATTAAATAAAAATAAAAATAAAAATAAAACCCAAGGTTGAGAACATCAGTGCCTGTGGATTTTGTTTTAAACCCAGAAGATTTCCTCTTTATTTGCATACATTTGCAAAGATAAGTACTTACAAGAACAAGCCATGAAGAAACTTGCTTATACAATATGTGCAATTAAAAGATGCAAGTAAAAATGAAACTTTTTCTTTACAGCAATGCTATTTCATTTGTATTCTTCTGAGATATATGAATACAAGTAATTTGATTGCAGAAACTATCACTCTGTGATATTTAATGCATATTTCTCTTTCAGTTGTAGCAAGTCTAATCATCCTACATTTGTCTGGGGCAACCAAAAAAGGAACAGGTATGTAAACTTCAAACATTTTTGTCAGAAAATTTATTAAAGACCAAAATATGGACCTGAGTTTTTAGTTTAGTTTTTGAAATTTTTAGTAGTTCATTTACTTCCAGTGTCTGCCCATTTGTTTGGAGCATACATATGCCTGTATACACACAAAAAAGGGATGCTCATCAGGCTCAGTCTGACTCTAACTAAAGATCATACAATACTCCCACTTTCAAATTGGGAAGTCCAGTTTGGGCACTCAGCTACCTACAATTAAAACCTCTTTTCTTGTTGAAGTATAATTAAAAACCTGAAATTTGGTATCATGGGTACATTTGTGCAGGGGGAGTAGAGAAAGAGGGTCTTGAAAGCCTTGGATGCTTAGTGTGAGGAGAGCCTAGCAAGGAATGCTGCTAAGCACAGTGCGTGTCTGAACCTGTGTCTGAACGCACAGTCCCTGCAGGCTGGAATTCATTGTAGGAAATTTGGCTCCATGTCATATTCTGCCTGGATACTGACCAGGGTGAAAAAGAAACGCTTGCAGAGTATAAGTCAGATCTCAGATGGTTAATATCATCCTTGGAAACTGCTTGTTTTCATCCATAGACACTAAGAGGGAGCTTCAAACACCTTACGCACCAGGGGCTTAAGTTATATGGGACAACTCTTTGATTATTAAATACCTCATTCAGAGAAACACCAGTCTAGAACCTACTATCCTTCCTTTTAATAGCAGCCTAGATATATTTCCTTCTGAATAATCCACCTCATTTTAGCCTACTTGTCAAAAGCAAGATGCTTAGGAAGGGATTCCTGGTATTGTTCAGCTTGAGCTGGCCCAAACCTTTAAATCCAGTCTCTCTGCCAGAGAGCAGAAAGAAATGCAAGAGACTCAGGGCTAGGAAGAAAGCAGACAAGAAGGTCTGACTCTTCTCTCTGAGGATTCACTTAGGAGAAGGAAAGTTCTGGGCTGTGATTCCTGGCCTCAGAGCTATTTATTAATTTTGCAGCAAACAGTGAGATAAAAATAATCTACGAACTAGATTCCAGGAATTCTCCTGTCTACCTCTGTCCAGTGAATATAGACGAAATATGACAAAGATTTAAAACAGCTTCTTTATATGATCATAATTCTCTGTGTTATTTCCTTGGTTTTGTGACTGATATATTCCTGTATTATGGCACAAAGCTTGCTGATAGAGCACATGCTTGAGAATTGGAAGGCATGAATTTCCCACTCATACATTTCAAAAAGCTCACATTCCTTAGAAGGAATGTGCTTTCCTTTAAAAGCAATGCAAATTTATTTTCCCCCTTTCCTCTGCTTTGAAAAACATATTTTGAGTAAGAATTACATGTTTGTACCCCTAAAACAGCCTTCTTTTCCCCTAGATCAATTATCATACTCAGTCTGAACAAGTAAATGTTTGAGGCTCCTGACAGAAAAGGGGCTGTTGTATTTATCCTGTTAGAGAGTTGTTAAGTGTCACATGGACAAAATGATTTTTGGACTAATTATATAATGCTTAATATCATCATTTCACAGAAAAGCAAACTGTGTCCGAAGGACAGAGACCAGTGCAGTGTGGAACTTGGACAAAATATGCAGAAGGAGGCATCTTCACTTCTCCAAATTACCCCAACAAGTATCCTCCGGACAGAGAATGTGTCTACATTATAGAAGGTGACCAAAAGAAGAATCTTTATATTTTATCATCAACTGTTTTAAAAATAATAAGTTTTCTTATATGTGAAGAGTATGTAGTCACGGTAATTAATCTTTTCAAGGCAAAATATTTAGAGAACCTCTGGATTTCTTTTTTGATATAACTCATAAATTAGTTAAGGTGGTGTGTGAGACTCAACAATAAACAGTACAATTTATTTCAGGATATTTAGAAAATGAACAGAGCCTAAAATCTAATGTGACAGAAGAAAGGATATTTTAAAATTAGTAGTAAAAGTGAACATAGGAAACAATGGTTTTGACTTTCATGCAGACATTTTAAACTTACTGTAACTGAACCAGGGATGACAAGCTTAGCTAGGCAAAGTACAGGAAAAGAAGTCATACAGAAAATATCCATATAGTGAATGTTAAAATGATTTTCCATCCTGTTGTTCATAAGAAATGAAAATGAAATAAATGCAACCCACAAAAATAGAACTAGAAGAGAATAAATATTAGCACAAAGCATCTCTAAAACTTACATTTTAAAGTGTATATATAATTGCAGGCATGGAAGTGATGTAGGAAAGGCTAAAGGTGTATTACAAACAATGTGGTTTCTTTTCATTAGTCTTAGTACAATGGATGTTGCAGAGATTGTTGTAATAATGGATCTCTGGAAAGTAATAGAGTTTAGATCCTCTCAGAGCTCAGAAAAAATGAATCAGGTACTGTATAGTAAATCCATGGAATAAAAAAACTTCTTTCATGAGTTGTGAATACATGTAGAATAAAACAGTGATGGTCTTCTATCCATGCTTCATTTAGAGAATTATTAATTATTTAATGCTGGAACAAGGAATCACAGAAATAATTATTTTATGAAAGATGCAGGTAGTACCAAGATATATTTCCAAAATATATAGCTGATTTAAATTGAATGAACTGTTCTAGGCCCACACACACTATGTACTTTTAGAAAGTCAAAAGTCATGGCAAAATGACTGAATTCCACTTTGGTCCTAGATAACTTGAATGAAGTCGGAAGAGGTGATTATAAATAAGTAGCCAAACAAACTCTTAAAATAAAATTGATGCTAGTCTGTATATGTCTGAAATTTAAGCAGAAATATGGTAAATATTTTAATTCCAGCATAGTTTAATAGTTGGTTTAAAATAATAATTTTTTTTCAAGAAGATAAATGTATAGGTTCAAAATATACAACTTTGCATGATTTTTTTCCAGTTACACTTATGTTGCTAGATCCAGGTTTTTTTTGCATATATTGATCAAATTATCTAACACTATGTGAGACTGGGAAGAAGCAAGCCTGCTTTATCTTCAAAGATCTGAAACACAAGATATTTTATCATTAAAGTGAAAAGGTGTAGAAAATAACTCACCATTTTTTGGTAAAATTTAGTCCCACATCTCAGGTCATGAGATGTTCTTCCTCACAGTAGGAAGGTACTTGAAAGCCCAATATGGTAAAGACTTTTGTCTTTATTGGAGTAATTAAGTACTTACAAAAATATAGCTAATATGCTGAAAGACTGCAAAATACACTGTTGAAATAATGTGATTTAAAATATCTAAAAATTGAAATGCCAAAGGACAATTTACAAAGGAAAGATTTAATCAACCCACTTCTATGACAAAGATGAAATTCCACATTGACAAGTTTAGAGCAATGTATAAAGAAAAGAGTAAACTCAACAGATATCATGTCATAATTTATTTTGGAAAATTCAATCTTATAAAATGCAGTAGAACACAAGTTTTTCATGGCATGGATATTTTCTTCTTCCCACCCAGACTAATAACAGTTTGGTTTACAGATGGTCATTTTAAAACCCACAATGAACCATAGGCATTGCACAACATTTCAGCTCTGATCTCCCCATGTCTATTTCTGTCTTCTAAAAAAAATCAGAAATAGTCATGTCTGTCTGGAAAATGTCACAAAAATAAGCAAAGATATAGAAAGATATCTGAGCAATAATATTTCAAAATGTGGCAGATTTTTAAAAAAATGCAAAAGAACTACCTAAGGTCAACAAAATCTTTGTGTAATTAGAATTAATTATTTGTCCATATTTATTCTTTTTGCAGCATATAAAATGACAGAAAATGATAAAGAAGTCTACCAAGTATAATTTTTCCCCACATCTTTTATATTCCATGAAACTCATTGTCATAAGGCAATGATAGTAAAGGATTTAAAAAAAAAATTCTGACAGCAATGTCTTTGATATTAGATAGCAATCTACAGAAATTGTGGATAATCATGACTAATGGAGGAAATAAATATTTTAGAGTAAGACAGAAATGTCTCTTTATGCATTTTATTTCTATATTTAGTACTGAAATTTCCATATGCTTGAACAGCTTCTGAATCTTGTTGAATGCCAAGCACCAAACTAGATGGAGTGTTGATGTGGTCTATAATATAATCCCCCAATCACTATCTCCCCATTGTATGTCTCAGGGAATTCAGCCAATCAGGACTGTATATAACATACTGAAAGTTGTATGATGTGAGTATAAATGCATATATGAATCACTAGGTTCTTGCCTAGCTGCTTGCATTCATTCCTTCATTTATTTGCTATGAAACATAGTCTTAGGGCAAATTCAAACAAAATTCCTATGACTTGAGTAGTCTTTACTGAAGACTCCAGCTTGTAGTATGTTGTAAGCAGTTGAGTTTCATCTCAATTGTTTTTCCTTCCCATTGTAGCTCAACTTTTGTGTATGCAATCTTTTTATCATGTCAAAATTATTTTGGTGAAGTAAAGGAACTGGCAAAGGTTGCCATGATCATAGAATCTGAATTTCTGAAAGAAAAGGAGATTCCTGACTGCAGAGCCTTCTATCTTAGCAGTCAAAGACATAAAAGCATAACCAAATCAAACAGTTTGAAGTTTCTTATATTATTCTGCTTTTTCTCTCTCTCTCTTTTTTTTTTTTAATTTTGATTTATTAATAATGATAATGAACTCTTGGGACAACTAGGAATTTTAAAGTACAGGTCGAATGCCTTTCTAAAAGAAATCCTCTAAGTCACCTAGAAATCACGGCCTCGTTACAAAAATTGTTATGCTACAGTAGAGTGTCACATGTAAGTTTTTTTTTTGGGGGATACAACTCCCCTTTTTTTTTTTGATGAATCCCATCTGCTTTTTTTTTTGCAATGAGAATTTTTTCTTTTTTTTTNCCTTTTTTTCCTTTTTTTTTTTTCTTTCAATCTTAGTTGGCATATAGAAAACATAGATAATGAGCTGAGAAAAATTGGCCAAATTTCACCCTTATTTTGCATATTCATGATTCTAACCTGACAAAATTCACAGCTGCCCAGAACAATCACAGCAGTGACAGCAATAGCCTTTGCCAGACTGCAGAACATTTGGCATGTGTGCTGCAAAAGGAAATTTGCACAGGAGATTTTGTAGGAGCAAAGGATTTTATTTGCATTAAAATATTTGGGGAGTGGGATAGTCATACTATACACACTATAAATTGAGAATCAGTTTATCTTGTAAGTAAAATACCTGTAAAATTTTAACCACTCTTCTGCTTTTAATAATTAAGTGCTTATTTATAAATATAGTTATGGACTAGAGTTGCTTTATGGAGATATAAAATATATCTTCCACTTTACAAGTTTGTGAACATATTGAGTTACCACTCTTGAAGTTCTCATGATCTCACAAAAGACCATTAAACTCCTCATATTTCACAGACATTAGAAAATTGTCATGTTATCTCCAAATTAAAAGCCTCTGCTCAAAGTTCTTTTGTATTTCACAGTGATTTTTGTGTTAAAAAAAAAATGTTACCAAAACAATGAAAGAACACTATTTTCAAATGAAGATAAATGTGGTTTCCTTATCAATAATAGCAGAATAACCAGAAAGAATGAGGATTATTGAAAATATTAGTAGGGTAACAGATCATAGAGATTGCAGTAGGTGTTGAGTTGTTTCTCATTTCCATGCAGTGTGGCAAATGGAAACAGATTTTTTTCACTTAACTTCAGCTGTCACTACATAGACTTAGAGGCTGATTAGAATTAAAACCTTAATTCTGTAGTTTTGCTGAAACTGTTCTACTGCAAGCTGGAACCCAATGACTTTTTTTTATCATTGGATATAAAATCTTGAGACAGCACTTGCATAAGATACTTAGATGAAAAATATGACAACATATGCAAGCATTAAGTAGGCCTGACAATGGTTCTAAATATTTTTTGAAGAAAGACAATTGGAAGTTAAATATGGAAGTTATGGCATTTGAAATTAAGCAATTTTATGAGACGGTATATTATTCAATATATTTTATTTGGAGTGGGCACAACTTTTCCTGACATCGTAGCCACAGAAGCTCTGAAGATGTGAATGGGCTTTACCTGTGAATTAGGATACCAGAAATAACCACTCCATCCCTCCCTTTCTGATTAGATGTCCAGATGCCAATCCAGTCTGAAAGATTTGCATATTCTGGATTTTTTTGCTTTCTTTTCTGTAGGTACACACACACTATTATTAGCGGCTATTCTGGACTTGCAGTTTATTTTCTGTAAATTTTCCCGTGACCTCATTTACACACCCTTTGTTGCAAACGCTGTTGCACAAGATGTGTATTTAAACAATAGCTGCTTTTTCTACCTTATGTTTAGTAAAGAAACCCCTTATTAAAGCCAGAGCATACATGTGAAATTATACCATTTTTGCTAAAAGGAACTTAAAGTTGGGGATTTGAATTATGTGTTTTCATCCCTTATGGTCATATCTAGGAAGTTTTGATTAACTTTATGTCATATGTAGATTATTGCAAACAAAACATTTAACTATTAATTAAATATGAAGCACAAGAAGAAAAACATTTAAAAGCATCTAATGAAAAGGTCATGGATGTGTGAGTTACACCCTGGAGTTACACACAGTTACAGAAATATGAAATATTCCTAGTGGTATGGCCAAAATGATGCCAGAACATGACTATACATTTAAGGAGTGTGAACAGACAGTGGTCCAGCCCTCAAACTCAATCCCCAGCCTTTTTTTTTATCCCCAGTGGAGAAGTGCTACTAATGAATATTCAGTGATTCATTCTTAAAGTGAAATAGGCTCTACTCATAGGACCTTCAGGAAAAAGTGGAAACTTCAGCTCTCCTTGAGCTGATGTTATTCTCTCTAATCCTCTAGCAAGATTTGAGCTTCACTAGGAAAAGCCTCACCTTGAGTTTGTTGAAAAATAAATAAAAACAGAATAGTGTGAACTATAGCAATATTCTGGTTATAAAACTGGTTGGTGATATAAGATTCAGAAAGCTACATGGATATTGTAGAAATTTTCTTTTTTTCTCAGGTCATTCATTCACCCAGCCAATAGCTCTCATGTGTAACTCTGTAGACCTGATTTTTATTTATCCACAATCTTTCCTTTTACTTTAGAGCCTCCTATACCAAGGCTATAGCTGGCTCTAGGGCTCCTTCTCAACACCAAAGATCATGTCAAATGAACTCTGAACTCTGAGGGAGACTCGTGGCCATTTTTAACCTTACATGAATCTTGGATACAAAAAAGACCTGTTAAGGATTTAACTGTGGGCCAGCACTTGTAACCCTCTTCTTGGTATGAAATAAGGAAGCAGAAAAGAAAGTTTTTAAAGGATAAAAATGTTTTGATAGTGGCATAAGCCATTTTTAAAATAATCACTTCGTGTCTGCAGGAAGCACAGCAGCTATACTGCTCTATGTCACTAACAGTACTAGGAAAATTAATCCTCATATGTAGTTTGTGACATTAAAACATAATAATAAAGCTCTAGACAGGTTAATAGCATAACACTGGAGTCATGAATGTGTAAAGATTTTCAAGCTATGATGAGCATTCTTAAAATTACCTAAAATGTTGTCAGGATAGAGTTTCTGATACCTGACTGTGGTCCTTCGGTGGATGATGAACAGCTCTCAACAAATTTCCTTAAATGGTATAAGAGCAGGCAGAATATAATCCCAAATTGAAAGTTGCTGGTTGCTCTCTTCTGTCCTAGCATTGCTTAGTTGAGTTTAAATCAATAATTTTTATAAAAGTGTAAAGTCAAGAATAAAAACATCTGAAGAAAATTAATTGATGATGTCTTCCAGGTATTTAATATTTTAATATAATCTAAAAAGATTTACTTTAGTCTTCAAATCTCACCAAGGATAACATCATTATGATCTCCTTTATGAGCTTTATTATCTGACCTTACTTTTGTAAATTTTTGTATACTTTCAAAGTAGTTGCTTTTCCATAGACTGTGTATTTGGTGCAATTATATGTAAAACATAAACCTTTGCTTTTTTTATTGAATTTATATGGGCATAAAGATCATAAATTTCCTGTAAATCAGTATGAATAATGACAAGTCACTAGTAAGTATTTCCCTGAGTGTGAATGTCTTCAAATTGAGAATAGTAGAAAAGGTTTCTTTCTTATGTGAAATTAAATGTTTTAATAAATATCAATCATCCAATTATATTAACATTGTAAGTAAAGCTGTTAAAATAATCTTTCTTTTCAAACAAGGTTTTTCATTAACTTCTTAAATGCTTCTTATAAAATGAGGCTGTATTTATTTACATGAAATAGTTGTAAGAGGGATCTGACTTTGTGCTCTTTAAGTAAAGATTTCAAAATTTGCCTGATATCTTCTTACTCAGTTAATTTTAAATAGTCTGTCTTATGTGAGTAATGAGTTCATACCAAAAGCTTCATTTTAAAACATTTCAGAATCTAAACAAGATCTTTGTTCTTGTAATACTGAGTTTTCTTATGACTCTTGAGGAAATAAATGTAGAGATACTGACTCCTGGAGAGGCAGCAGTTTCCATGCTAAGCAGTTTCAATGCTAGTAACTTGGCTTGGAGCTTGATCTTCCATATTTTCATGTGAAAAGAATGGTAACTCTGGCAAAGCTCATGGCAATATAAACCTCTCTTGATATGTGTAAAGTGTAGGACATGATCCCATGAGAGGCACAGAAGGCAATGACACAACAAATCCTTGTCTTAGCAGAAGGCTTTGTCAGCAAAACGCTCCAATGCACCATGCTCTAGACACAGAAGGCACAGTTATTGCTATGGCCAGGATTAAGCACAGAAAACAGTGCACCTCTATGAGGTTGCATTTTATCATTTGATAAAATGGATCAAACCATGATTTTTTCCCTCCTTTTAAGAAAATACTGTATTTCTACTAGATAATTTTTTTGCTTTATACAGGAGATGCCAGGAAGTCTTTGTTTTAGAGATTGTTCTGACAGTCTCTAGACTTAGTACCTATCATTAAAGATGGATTTTCTTTAAAATGTCTAATAAAGTGGCCACTATGAAGTTCCTTCAAGATTTTCAGTATATAATTTACACTTCTGTTATCATCCTTATCTAGTTCTTCCTTTAGTGAGAACTCACTGCATTTTTTCTTATGTTTCCAATGAGATGTTATTCTGAGTATATGCAATTACACTCCAGTTTGTCATTGACTGAAGTACATATGGGAACATAATCTATCCTTACTGCAGCACAATTCTGATCAGCCTTTTCTTCATCATCTTTGTCAGTACTAGATATAAAACAAGTATTCTGATTAACACCCCTCCCTTAAATACAATAAAAAAGTATTTTTCTAAATATGTAAGTTTCTTAGAAACATTTTATATTTGAAGAAAATGTTCCTGGCAATATTTTTCTGTTCATCACAGATATCTCTCTCTTATCTTTACTAAGCACTGCTGTCAAGAATACTTTTTTAAAGGAGAACAACAAATAGCCTGACAGTGTGAAATCTATAAAAAATACAGATGTACTAATTTTAAAACAAGTTTTTAAACAAAAATTTAGCATCCATACAAAATTGAAATATTTATTTTTCTTCAGTCTTACTTTAGTTTTGAAAGGTCTTGGGTTAGAAAATAATAAGATAATTTTCTTTTTTTGTCTCTAGCTGCCCCTAGACAATGCATTGAACTACACTTTGATGAAAAATATTCCATAGAGCCTTCTTGGGAGTGTAAATTTGACCACATAGAAGTACGAGATGGACCTTTTGGCTTTTCCCCAATCCTTGGACGTTTCTGTGGACAGCAAAATCCACCTATGATAAAATCCAGTGGAAGATTCCTGTGGATAAAATTTTTTGCTGATGCTGAACTGGAATCTATTGGGTTTTCTGCTCGGTATAATTTTACACCTGGTAAGTACAAACCATCACATTTTTAATAGAAAAACTTATCATTGTAACTTTTCTAATGATGTATAATCTTGCTGTTGAAGAATATCTTTAGCTGGGGCTTAGTGTATTTTCAAGAAAGGTATTAATAGATAGAAAATTGATAAAAGTCATATGTATCTTTTGCATAACAAGTAAGGCTTATTCAAGTGAAAGATTTTCAGATTCTGCAGTTTTAAAAAGTATTATTTTCAAGTGAATGCTATTACAGAAGGTCATTCAAAATGTTTAATGGGAAGTTTAGTGTTTTATGCTTGCTGTTACACTGTACAGCTTTTCTTTCAAAAAGACCATTGATAAAGTATTCTAATAAAATATGTAATTATCTCAGAAAATTCCATCATTGCTTTTCCACTTCACCAATCATTTCCCCAGCTGAGGAATGGCATACTTCTCCTTCCTCAATAAAACAAACTATTACAACTATTACCAAAGGATGTGTGAGGTTGAAAGAGTAACATATATTAAATATTTTTCTTAAAAGGTTGTAAATCTTAATTGCAATTCTACAAGTATTCCTTGTCACTGTTTAATTCATTAAAGTAAAACAAAATTCATAGTCATACTTTCCATTAATTCCCCTGCTCCCCCACTTATTAACAAAAGATTGCTGATTTGAAATTTCTTCTTTGGCTTCAGCTCTAATATACTGCACTGCAACTGCACTGCTGGATGTGACGTAGTTCTGTGACTTCTTATGTATTGAGTGATGAGTCATGCTTTAATATAGCTCACTCTAAAGCACTGTAATTATTATGTAATTTTGCCAATTATGTCACTATTTTTTTCAGCTAAATTGTTGTATTAGGTTGAACAGTATTCTCTAGAATACTGCCTAAAATTAGCAGACCCAAAACTCTTCCTTAAATATTCCAGTAGCATCATAGAAGATGGCAGGTCTACATGCTCTGTGTGTTCTTCTTTCTGGTTTTCCTTCATTAATTCAAGGAAAACATTTATAAAACTAAGCAGCATAGTAAAATTTTCTTTCAAGTCCATGATACTATTTTTCAATGGCTAAACATATATAGAAGGTTCAAACAGGAACAGAATAGAGAATTTCTGTAGCAATTTATCTGATAGCCAGGTATATGTATCTGTTGTAAAATCAAAGACAATAGACAAAATTTTGTTATAACCATGCATATCCACTCTGAAAAGTGAGTTAAATTTTTATCTCTTATTTACCATTGGTTTGTGGGCTTTTGCCATTTCCTTGCCCTGTGACATAAGTACTTTGCTTTAGATCTTGTTACCTTTTTTTTTTTCAAATTATGGTTGAAAAGATATTAATAGCAAAATCTGTAACTTAGTCTGTATAAAGACTCTCAAGCAAAAGACAATTTCATGGATCATGTTTTATCCTCATTCGCTTTCTACTGATGTAAGGAGAATTTCTACACAAAGATCAATGCTGGTAAATTGGTACAACAGCATAAATTATTCTAGACTTCAGATGGAATAGCTATATCTTTTTCCTTCCTTGATTCTTTCTTTTTTTTTCCCTCCATACATTTCAATAGAAGCTCTGCAAGTAGTAGAGAGTTAATAGGAATATTGGCCAAAATAAGAATATGATTAATCTGACAAGTGCAAAACAGAACTGTTGCTTTCTTGATCACCAATAAGAGGAAGAACTTCACATTCCACATTATTACTTGTATAGTCTTTTATTATGCAGACATGGATAAGGCATGACATTTTGAGATCTATTGTCCATATGTGTGCACTGGGGGTGGTTCCTGACAACTCTTAAAACAGAAGGATGGCTTTTGAGATTGTATAAGAGAGTAACACAGAGAGGATTCCACTCCAGAGTATAACAGAGTAACATAGAGAGGACTCCAATACAGAAATTATCACCTAAACCACCTAGAACCAGCTCCGATAGTGACAACTTTAAAAATTAAATTATGAACAAGGAAGAGATGAGAAGAAATTTTTCAGCTGACCTCTCTTTAAAGAACTTGAAGAAAAAGATCCAAATCAAAGACTCATTTGGAAACTGTTGCTGTCTCAAGCAGCTGAATGCTCAGGGGATATGTGATTTTTGTTGCCACTCATCCCACTTGTCAAAAGCAGGACACTCTTCCTAACTGCAACCTGCAAAGGAGGCTTTGCTGATCCAGAGACAAGTGCAACACAGTTATTTATTGAGTAACAGCAATCTTTGAGGGTCCCCACCTACCCCCACATGTCTCTCATCTGCCTCCTTTGCATTTGAGATCTTAATGGAGAATAAAAAGATGCATTGTTAAATGTGTGTGTGCCAGGATTTAAAAAATAAAAAGTAAATTTAACTAAATCGAAGCTGCAACCATTTATTGTTATTTGAATGGTACCTAGAGAAGCAGGGAAAATTATTTACTATGTCTCCAGGGTGTATAAAAACAGATAACTGGATGAAGTTGAAAAAAAAGATCAGTTAGGATATAATGAAAAATGCTGAAATGGAGCTCTATTAATCTGCAATTGGAAAGAATCCTGCACCTAAGGCATTTTAAATCTAGTTTGGACTAAGTCCTATAAAAAGAAATTATATAGAAAAATCCTAAGGGACAGACTAATAATTTGCACTTATGACAACTTTTCTGTTCAATAATTTCTTTGACTCCTTGGTATTGAAATGGTTGGAAATTCATCCACTAAAGCAAAAGTCCAGCAGGGGCTGTGGTTTCAGAAACAAATGTAACTCTTTTGCTATACATTCTTTTCCTTTTAAATGAACCTTTTTTCGGAGGTCTTTTCAGTACTCTAAAAAGTGAGATCTTGCAGAAGAAAAAACTTTAGCAGCAATATCAGAGCTACATACATAGCCAACACAAACACACCCAGAAGCTGGTAAAATTACCTTAAGTTTTGCTAAAAAAATTCCTTTTTAAGAGAATAATTTTGGCTTTCATTTTTGTAATTTCTTAATTATAGTCTTAAGAGACACATGGATGAATGACATGGTACATTTGGTATTAGACTGCTTTCAATGTCAAACTCCGAGCTAAGGGAAAAACTATTCATCTTTTGCTTAATTACAACTAATATCAGTAATAATCAGATGCATTTTGATGTAAATTTTCAATCATTTTGCATACATGAGAGTTTATAAACAAATGAAAACTTCTTTACTCTTTATATACTATTTTATTTTTATTCTTTATTTTAAAATTCTGATTAACTGTGTTTATTTCAAAATGGAACTACCTGAAACTATTGAACCTTCATAAATGTATACAAAATTTTTGTTGGGTTGTTTCTTTTTAAGGAAATCTGATGTATGAGAGAAACACATATCAGGCTACAATATTTTTAGGTCCTGCTGGTTCATTTTGAATACAATTTTGATTGACTAGGGAAAAACCCATGACACAAGGATAATTCATCCTTGCTCTTGTTTTGTCAGTCTTTGGGCCACTGAAAGGCCTACACCTGAAATTTCATTTCACAGCTCTAGGTTGTTTGACTCAATTTATTATACTCATTTTTTCTAAAAAGCTTCATCTCAAGACTATTTTCCAAACTGGTGTTGAATCACTGTTTTGCGTTGAAAAAATTCAAGTACTGCTTCAAATTATTGACAACTCTTCTTTAAAAAGAATCTTTTTTTTTTTTTTTTTTTTTTTTTTTTTTTAGTACAGACAAGTTTTTTTTTTTTTTTTTTAGTACAGACAAGAATTCAGGCAGAGAGAGGCTGTGCTTATCTGGGCTTTCTTCCTCAGCTAGAATAATCAGATTTCTGTTTATCCTGGTCCCTGATTTTGCAGGACAGTGGCTTAAGATAGCACATCATTACTTTCAGTTCCTTCACTTAGTAGAAGCCATCTGTGTTTTTATTTAGCCTCATTAATATAAACGTCAGTCAGTAATGTTTTCTGTTCAACTGCCTGATAATGGAAAACAAAACAAAGATTTATTCTCTTGTGTTCCAAAAAGTGGAATATGAAACACTTTCTAACCAAAGTAACAGTACTTTTAAATTCCCATTACAGTGAATGTCAGAGTAATAGAATAATTATGTCATCTATCTTGAGGGAAAAGAATAAAAAACAACCCAAATTCCCCTTCGTTGAGAAATTTGCACATTTTATAACTCATGAAAAATTTAATGAGAATTTATTAAATTCAATCACAATTCTAAGAAACTTAGATAAAATATTATCAAATCATTTTGCCATCTAATGTCCATCTTCTGCCTTGAATGTGTTTAAGCAGGGGATATTTCCCAGACATCTGGAATATCTGAATATCCATGTGAGCTGGGTCACTTGTACTTTTTTTTTACTCTTCTGAACCTGATCTGATTACTTTTAATTTGGTATTAGCATGACAATCACTTTTTAGCAACTTGAAATCCAGTTAAGCTTTTTGAGAACCAACAAACTATGCCAAAGCCATTTAACTTTAAAGAACAAAATGGTTTCTTTTTGGGAGCAGATTTGGTTTGGAAGATGAGAAATTACTCATTACAACTTAATTTTGAGACAGAACCACGTGATGTCAAAAGTGTGAATCTGTTTTATTTATTGAGATATAACTTCCCAGCACTTCAAATTGCTATAAGCAACTTCCTGGAGTTATGAACTTTTATTGTGTTCATATAAGTGCACTTCATAAGAGTCAGGCACTTCATTGCTGTTTACAAGGCATTAGGGCATCCTGGTCTTGGGAAAGGGAAGGAATTTTTCTCAAGTAGGATGATGAATTACATTGAAAATCATGATCACAGGTTTCTATTAAATTTAAAGTGTAAAATAATTCCTTATGTGGAACAAATGAGTATCTAAAAGCTCTTGTGCGGTTCTCAGATCCCATATTATGTGTTACCGTCACATAGCTATATGTTTCTTTCAACAATACCCAAAAGACAAATACAGAACATCTTAGTTTAGAAATCCCTACATGCTGGGAGTATCATATTACCAACAGAAGTTGAACATTTAAGTCCCTACTCTGTGGAACTTTGATGTAAA